AAGAGGTGATTTCAATACAGACTACTCATTGGAGGACGTAATTAGGTGTGAAGCATCTTAAAAACGCAGCCATCGCGTCAAACCTACGGAAGCTGTAACGACCGCTATATCAGCGTTGTGGAAAACAACTTGGGTAGGATTTCATCGTCAACCAGGAAGGTAATATTATACCGAAAAACAAAACTGATTATCTTTCAATCAGAGCTTGTGGTAAAGGTATAACATTTGTGATTTGTCTGTCGCTGGACTTATACCTACGATCAGTTATGGAAATATAGCTAATCAATCTACCCACAATTCTGACTACAAAACACACAGTAAACAAAGAAAGGGCTCGAGGCCACATCTACCGAAGGATATTACAGTTAATATCATTTCCTAGTGTACTTCGTCGCTTCATAAACCACGCACACGTAGGAAGGACGTGTTAGTTGGATTACTGACCTTTAATACGGAAAGTTTCGTCCTGTTCCTGAATTCGCTGCCCCCTTGTAGTGTAAAACCCCAAGGTGAACCTCCGGAGAGAACGACATCAAAGGTCTGCCCTGAACCCTTCGTCTGTGGATTGAATTTATACATGGTCCCTTATCGAATCGACGTACATCTCCTGGCGTGTAATTCTATGGCATTTCAACGGAAACGTGGTAAAGGAAGATACTTGTTTTCCTCCGCCGAATAAAGCTCCCGAACCGGGAAAAATATGTGTATGCAAATGTCCCTACATACAAATAGTGGACCAGCAGCCTTTCCACACACCCTGCGTCAAAGCGAGGCCTGGACACCGCTGTCCTGGGCCTTCCATGCTGCGTTCGAAAATCTCATATAACGCAAAATTTGATTGGTCTATATGAGAAAAGAAGCTAATAGGGACCAATCAAAACATTTCTTATATTTGATGAAGTCGCGCGAATTCGCGGGAAATCTTGATTGTTTTGATGTCTGAAGGGAATCCTGCTCCGGGTTTTTATGCAGAATTTCTAATATTCCCTCCCTTCCAAGACTCTCCTTACTTCATACGAGCACGGAAATTTGTCGTCGAAGTAAGTCGTGGATTCGCTTGGCAGTGTGGTTACAAAATTTTCAAGAAATTTAACGGAGAAGTGCTACCCTCTCTCAGTGATCCTCATATTGCAATGTCAAAGCGAGTGCCAACTTCAGCCCAAGATGTTACAGGGACCGAAAAAGCGGCTAAATTGACAGAAGTAAACTGCAACAGAGATGCATCGTTTAGTAACGGCACAAAGCAAGAAGGCTTCGCTCCACAAACTCCAGCGAAGACTGCAAAGCGAACAGACTATCTTAGCTGGGACGAGTATTTCATGGCGGTCGCATTTCTCTCTGCACAGAGAAGCAAAGACCCGAGTTCGCAAGTCGGAGCCTGTGTCGTGAATCAAGAGAAGAAGATTGTGGGAATTGGATATAATGGAATGCCAAATGGATGCAGTGATGATGAATTACCCTGGGCAAGACATGCTTCAAATGAGCTGGAAACAAAATACCCCTACGGTAAAATGGATTATCTGGTTTATAAGCTTATCGGTATTGCGAAAGTTTTAATCCACTGGTTAAGTATATTTTTCTCTTTGTATATTGAAGAGTCATTTATAGCCTTGTTTAATTCTTATTTGAAATCATTATTTTAAGGTAGGTTCACATCAGTATAATCCGATAAGCTTAAATTATTGATTTAGCTTCTAACGGTTCAAAATATCCTGGGGTTTTGTTCCAATCTCATACATGTTGTCATGGCAACCCTAACTGTAACCAAGGATTGTGTTCCCCCCCACCTCCCCAACCCCTGGGATGGAGCATTCATCTGCTAGCCTTTAGTCTAGAATAGGGTTTAAAACAGCATTTCAATGTCTGGTATAAAGGGAAAATGAGGGATATCCCCTCCAAGTGAAAACAAAGGGTAGCAGCATGCAAGTAGAACAGGAAGAACAACCAAGAGACAACTTGTTCTCATGTCTCACAATATTGGACACTTTACTTCTTCTAGTTTGTCATGCAGAATTGAATGCCATTCTGAACAAGAACTCTGCAGACATCAAAGGTTGTACTATTTACGTAGCCCTGTTTCCCTGCAACGAGTGCTCTAAGCTGATCATCCAAGCAGGTATCAAGGAAGTAATATTCTATTCAGACAAGTACCATGACCTGCCCAACTGCCAAGCCTCTAGGAAGCTTCTTGATATGGCCAGGGTAAAATACAGGTAACTGAGACTATGATTATCAAGTTCAAATGAAATGAAAACTGTTGTGTGATTATACTTCAACTTTAGGGGAGGTGCAGTGCCTATGGTTTGTGCACTGAACTCTCTGTTCAGCAGTTTGGGCACTCACCCTATTGGGTAACCCTGCAATGGACTAGTATCCCATTCTAGGAAAAGTTTTATAGTTCCTTCATGTGTAGAAACCAGAGAAAAGCACAGGAAGACAAATTCTCTGAATTGCTTATGGAAACTGCTGCTTGAAATCCTTAATACTACTGTTAGTAACAAATATTTTGTTTTTTATCCATCCACAGACAGTTCAAGCCAAAGGCAAGGGAAATAGTGATAAATTTTGCAAGTATTGACAGCCCTCCATCAAAACCCATCTGCTCTGTTTCTTCACCTTAGTTTTTTTTCCATTTAGTGATACCTTTTTATTAAGAATTAAATTGTAGACTTCTATTTTTATATGGTATGTTGCTATGTGTATTCATCATTCAAACAAATTGAGGATGGTGTCAGATTGATGAAAATGAGTTAAACCAATCATTCTTTTTATTATCATCATCATTACATGGGTACGATAGGAATCAAAGAAGTGTTGGATGTTTATTAACAGGTTAATTAAGAAACAAATGATGTTCACAGAGCAATTGTTCTAAAAGTAGTTTGATTTCCAAAAGTAAAGCAATCACCATTACCATTCTCTATTTTCCAATTGCTCATAATTCACTCTTATTCCCATCAAATTTTGCATAAACTGTTGTGATATGCTCTTGGGAATATGCAGATCTCCCAAGAGCATTAATTTTTACAATAGCTTATGCAAAATTTAGGGGCAAACAGAGTGAATTATGGAAAATAGAGATAATTTGGATGTCAGCTATTGTACCTCTAAGTTCTTAAAATTTATTTTTCTTGGAAATATGTGCTTTCAATAAGTTATAAATCAAACAATAACAGATGGAGTTCAGTCACCATCAGGAACAGAACTTGATAGCAACACAGATTTCTCTTAGCAAACACTGCATGAAAAAGAAAGTCACCCATGTATTTTGATAACCTTTATAATTATGATTCTCTTCGCTTGCACCACCATTATGTCAACAGCTTGACTGTGCTACTTCTGTGTTTCTATCGGGATTTAGTTTAAATCTACTAGCATTCTATCACAGATGCCATTGTCTAATAATAATAATAATAATAATAATAATAATAATAATAATAATAA